AAGCTGTAAATAACCCAGTAAACTAACAGGAACGGTGGTAGTCTTATAGTCTTTATAAACATATAATCTTACATCTAAAAGTATAGCTGCATGCTCTCTGGATATGATAATTTTATCACTGTATCACTGTCATCCCATTGTTTGTCGATTTACTCGAGAGGGCGCCAGTAAGGTCTCTATTCCTCCAAGCGCTGAGATTTTAGCAGCCTCTTCTTTTTCCAACAATTTCCAAAATTTCCCATCTTTTCCCAACGGTTGATTTCTTTCAGGGTCAAGGAAATGAGACCTGTTGTCATTACCAGTTTTGGCATATTGAATACGCCACAGGGAGCTTGCCAGGCTCTGCCTGTGTTGGGGAGATACTCACGGTAGCTTGCCGGGTTCTCTGAGAGGCATATATTTATATATTTCTCTCTATGATTTGTTGCCTACTGTCTGAACCCCATCAAATATGGTATGGTAATTATTGAAAATGAGTAGAGAGTGTCTTATAATGTGTCTGGAAAGTGGCCTGGAGCGTGGCGGCAGTTGGGTAGTGGAGGTCAGCTGCCAGGGCTGGGTCCCTTGGGTCAGGGAGGGCTCTCAACCATCCCACTCTGGGGTGGACTGAGTGAAAAAGCCTGGCGCAGATTCCTGATGGACCAGCGCAAAAGCATTTGCCAAGAAAATAATGTTATACAAATATTTTTCTAAATTTGATATTACTGATATTTATACATGAGGATCATGTAAATTCAAAGCTGAAAGGGAGTCAAGATTCTCAGTCTAGCTACTCCTTTCTCACATAGAAAATATAACAACTAAACTGGGTTTATTTTTGCAGAAAATCATGATTAGTGCTTGCTGAAACCAAGTTTTACATTAAAACGATGCTACCACCACGCCAAAATTTTTTTAAATGAAAAAAATACGGGAATCAGGGAACAGTGGTTGGGTCTGATCCAGGCTGGATGCCCAGCACCACATGGTCCCTGACCAACACTGAGTCTGGCCCCAGAGACCCTGCAACTCAGTCAGGGCTGCCCAAGATCTGCAACACTGCCAGCCAGATCAGTACCACATCCTCAGTTCATGCACTGAACCATCAGTCAGCTGGGGCAAGATTTGCCGGCTGGACCCCTGGATCTCTTGAGCAATGTTTGGGGGCCCCCTTCCCCAAATAATAAAAAGAAAAGAAAAAATATTGGCTAGCAATATGTACAGGGATACCAAGTTTGTTGTAGTTGATGTTTCCATTCTAGAATAAGCACTGTTTTTCACTTGTCTCCCTGTTAATGTTGGTCACTTCGAGCTTCCAAAAGCTGAAATCATAAGCATCTACTATCTACTTACTGTTCACATAGGAAACCTGACGATCAACTACCTGAGTTCCTACTTTTAAGAACTGGGATCAATAAACTTGAAGCATAACGTAAGGGGAAGGTGCGGATAGAGGAATGAGTAGGGTGCTTGTCTTCACCCAGTTGACTCAGGTTTAATCTCAACATCCCATCTGGTCCCATGAGTTCCATCAGGAGTGATGCCTGAGCACAGAGCCGGGAGTAAATCCTGAGCATTGTCAGATATGGCCCAAATGCAAGCAAGAAAATTAAACAATGAAACACACCAAGCTAATAAATTCATTTAAAGAATGTGGTGGGGCTGAAGGGATAATACAGGGGTTAAGGAACTTTCCTTGTGCATGGCTGACCCAAGTTCAATCCTGTGAGCACCATCAGAAAAGATCACTGAGCACAGATCTGGGAGTAAGCCCTGGGCACAGTTGGGTGTGGTCAAAAAATAAAATAAAATAATTTTTTAAAATAAAATACAACATGGTCATAGCTTACTGAAGTTAATTTCCAGTGGAAGACTTAAGAAAACTTTCATGTAGATAGAGCAGCACATGATACCGTTTAAAATAAAGAGTACTTTGCAAATCTAGTTTGAGAAAACATCAGAAATAGCATCCACCAAAATGATACCATGATTCCTGAAAACTGCTCCTGAAATTATTTGCAATTGACTCTGTACTGGCTTTGATGAGGGATATTTCCTCTTACCATTCAAAGCTCCTTAAAGTCCCCACTCCAAAAGTCATTCTTTCCTTCTAGTCATATCCCCAGCTGTCTTCAACGATTCTGTCTCTTTCATAATGTGTAAATTTTCAATAGATTAAGATCTTGGGGCTGATGTCTTGAATCTTGTCACATTTTAAGAGAGGCTCCTTTTTGGCTCTGAAATTTACTTATTTATGGAGAGAGAGAGAGAGAGAGAGAGAGAGAGAGAGAGAGAGAGAGAGAGAGAGAAAGATCCTTTGCAATATCAGCAACACTGTGCTCCAACCTCATCTGAAGGCCACCAAGTCTCTTGACCCCCTACATTCCAGAAATCAGGGGTCAGCAACTGGGTGCCCCTCTTGTGAAAAGCTGTTGACCTCCAGGAGGGGGCTTGTATAGAAGCAAGTGTTAATTTTCAAAATGTGACTGGCTGTGTGATAGCAGCAACCTCATCCCATCACAATGTCCCTTGGAATGTTTTTGAGTCAAGGGGCTAGAAGTGATCTGTCATCACTGAGCAGTGGTATGAGCAGCTCATTCTTGTGTCCTTGCCCTTCTCTAGACTCAAAACAAACGATCCCATTCCATCCTTCTCTTCTCCCACTAGAATTTTCATGTGTTCAACATTTGTCAGGGTTTCACCTTCAATGGCATGGCTTGAGCCCATAGAAATTATATTCGACACATGAAAAATTAACCAGGGGCTCATTTCTCCTTGCTTAGTGATTGAATTTTCAGAATTTACATTTGGCGTATGTATGTGAGTGCTTATTCTTGAAATAACATTTACAGACACTTTAAATGATTACCCCTCAAAGCCATCAAAGGGTTTAGTTACACACTTTAATATATAATTTCTTAAGCCATTTTTAATAAAATACAGACATATAATTATCAATGCATGTATGTTATTTAATAAAACAATAAAAGGCTAGTCTTTGAAGTGACTTGGTGATTAATATTTACAGTAAAATCTAAGGGAAATAACATTTATATAATATTGCTAATTAAAGAATAAATGTTACTACTCATATTGTAGTGTCAATTCAAATCACCAACAGCAAAACAGAAAATGCACTCCTTATTAATACACATTGGTCTAAGTCTATTTCCCATGTTTTTCTCCAGATGAAAAACTCTCATTTCTCTTCAACAAAACAAGACTGAGACTGGGATGTACTCAAGAGGACTGGTCCCAAATCTTTGTCAAACTGTTAATTCCATAGTCAAATCTTATAAAGATCTAATTATTAGAAGTGTTTCATGTCCCTTTACACTAATCTTTAATTTTAAAATCTACTTTAATTTGGCAAACTGTTATATAAAGCATGAGAAAAATGTGTTAATATCTATAAAATTTCATTTCCTGTGCAAATAAAATTTAAATAGCAATCCTTCTAAATATCTAACAGCCATGCTGCTTTAAAGTAAAGAATAAAATTGGCAGTCACACCCTTTGCCATCCGGAGATTAAAGAAATGATGTTTACTGATTTAAATGATAATACTCTGATTTTAAAATACATGAAATATCGTCAATGGACAGACACATTATGTAGGGCCTCAAAGGACATACATCAATGTTCCTTAACCCTTCCTAATCATCTCACAATATACAATCAAAGTAACTGGTTTTGAAATCTCAAACCATGTATACACAGATTAGGGACTTAAAAATAACACTGTTTTCATTTCTCGAGTTTTGAGACTAGAAATACTACATTGAGGTTAAAAATTGTATAACTCCTTTATCATAATTAGTATCTTCCTCCTTAGGCTTTGCCCTTTGCTCTACAACCCCCAAAAGACAGATTGCTGGAGATAATCCCTTGAAATTCCTTACCGCATTATTTAACACCAGAAAGATGTAGAATCTATCAGTTGGGGAAAGACTTGGACAGAGGGACAAGGTTAAAGGGCAAGAGGTTTCAATTTGTAGGAGTCATGAGACATAAATAAGTAGAATCAATGCCCTCTTCCTTACTTTCAGGGCGGGGGTCTCAAAGCAAGACGGATAAAGTATATTGAATGAACCACACTGCAGACATAGAAGCGATGGCTAATAACATTATTCCTCTTAATTTAAATTGATGGATATTCTTCATGGAAAGAGAATTTGAGGTGGAGATGTTTTACCTTTGCCATTTCACTCCTATTGTATATTTCTTCATTGTGAGAACTAGAATTTAAAGTGTTGATTTATTGTTTGTTTGATAAACTAAATGAGTAAAAGTTCAGAATACTGAAAATTTGTTCTCTTGCCAATGTAAAACTATCTCTATTATAGAAGGAAAAAATAGGAAAATAAATCTTGAGCTCTCCTGTGCCTTTCTTTAGAGAAGAATCTTCATAAATTATGAATTTTTAGTCAAAGTCATCTAATAGATGAGAAAATAGGAATAAACAGGGACACAAAAGCCAATCTTTCATGACTAATACCTCAGAAATTATGTAAGATTTCAATAGGATTTTGCACTGGAGATCTTCACACGATGCCCAAGAAGAACAAAACTCAGAAGACTATATGCTGATGCTTGTTATTATTGGTCATCAGTACTTAATTATGAAATCATGTAGAGTTTTTCTGATAATTAAGGTATGTTTTAGTCTGGTTAGCATGACTGCCCAATTTCAATCTTATTATTTGGTTTTATAAAAAACCTGAGAACTTTGGCTAAGCATCGTGCATTTATGCCAATACTCTGTGCAATTAAATGCACTGGTAGGGAAAGCAGAGGGAGAATGAGGTTTTGCAAGCTGAAAAACTTCACATATCATAACAGCATCCGTATATACCATCGATAATCACAGTCCCACCATAATAAAGCCAAAACATTCCATGAGCCTTCATTTTCTCTGATATGTATATTTCACACGCTACTGATAGTTTCTTTTCATATTGCTTAAAAAAAAAGGAAACAGAGGAAAAATAGATCAGACTAATTCAAAGGTCGTTTCCCCTAAAGGCTTCATCAAACCATATGTGCAGACACTTGAGATGATGACAGCGTTAAGCTTCCTAGGGTCCTAGAGTCAAAGAAACTCTGCTGACCCCCACTGCTAAGCAGGTGCACTCCTTCCACAGGGGGCAACATCTGACGATCCGTCATGGTCCCGCTTGGTGAGGACCCCAAGAAACTTCCTTGAGAAGAAACGATTTTCTCAGGGCTGGCGGCGAGTTTGGGAGATGTGGAGAAGTTGTATCCGTACAAGGCACAGGGGCTGTGTAACCTGAAAGTGTTGTAGGAGCCCTGATGGGTCTGGTTGGTGGCAAAGGCATTGCTGGAGGGTGAAGGCATGATGTACTGGAGCTGGGGCGACATCCCCGAAATCTGCATGGACAAACTGGTCTGCGGGCAGCTGAAGGTGTCCCCCTCAGTGGCACCCATGGACATGTTCACTGAGGCACTGCTGCTCACGCCCACGTAGGAGGGAGTCCTGGGCTGGGCAAAGGTCTCGCTGGTCTGGCTGGTGAGTCTGTTGTAGGTCTCGGCCAAGGAGGTGCTGTACCGGTTGAGGGCCAGGCCCGAACGGGCGCAGGCCGAGTAGTCAGCTGGGGCCAGGCTGCACAGCTGGGTGGTATTGGGCCCCAGGTGGAAGGCCGGGGACGAGCACGGGGAGCCAGACAAGAGGTGAGAGTGGGTGGCAGGAACCCCATTCCCAGAGCCTTGGAGTAATGAAGAGGAGCTTGCATTTCCTATAAAAGAAGTGGAAATATAAAACGTACCGGCTCCGTGGTCACCTTCTCTCTTCAATTTTGTGGACATGAGCTAGACACGACACCTAGGACAGGCGGCGGAGAGGGGCTCCAAGGTGAAAAGAAATTGTCTGGGTTCTTGATTGATTAGGATTTAACAGAATTCAGACTGGAACCTTTTTAAACAATAAATATGTTTTCAATATTTTCAAAGCAAAACGTACACACCCCCTCCTCTCCCGCCCCCACCTGTCCCAGCCTCAGGGAAAATGGTTTCCTTTTTGGCAGAAGATGAGGATACTGGGGCCTGGGACTATAGTCCAGAGGGTAGAGCATTTGTCTCGCACACAGCTAACCCAGGTTTCACCCCATATGATGCCCCTGAGCTCGCCAGGGGTAATCCCTGAACAGAGAGCCAGAAGTCAGTCCTGAGCACCACTGGGTGTGACCCAAAACAAAGAAAGAATAAAAGGATACTGCCATATAGAATTTACGTGTTTTCTCCCTCCATCAGTGTCTCAACATTTTCTTATTCACTATAATAGTATTACAAATACTGACTTTACTGACAATTTTATAAAATAAAAATTTTATCTGGGGCTGTGTCTTGTTCCAAAAATATAACCTTCACCTTTTACCCTCCATTCCTTTTGGGTAAGCTGGTAAGCAAAGCTTATTCAGGTAAATACACTGAGTTGTATGAGGGTGGGGGAGTGGGGAAGCTGTTTATCAAAGTAACTAACCAAAGGAACAGCCTGCCTCAACCTATCTGCAGCTCCCCACTGAAGGCCTGTACGTATCAAGAAGGTGGGTCACACAGAGGCTTGGCTATGGCAATAAAGTGCCTGGAATCTTTTTTCCAATATGAAAACAAGTCAGCGGATTGCATGCTAATGCGGGAACAGAGGCCCCACAAACCAACAGTCCCACGGAGCGGAGCAGAGAGGGGAGTGGCTGACCCCCCTCTCTGGGTTTGATGGCAGATTGATGTTGGCAAACTTGACGGAACTTAAGGAAATTCCAAGGGGCTGCACAGGTTATAAAACCTTCATGACTCTAGCAACAGTGTTTTATATTGCTTCTCAAAATAATCTAAAAGCCCAATTCAACCAATGATAATTATCTAAAACGCAACAAGCTCTTTTCTTCTCTCTGGGGTGCTGGGCAGGATCAGGCATAAAAGTCTGTTGGTGGGCGTGGCTGAAAGTCCTACCGTCCTATCAACAGAAAAGGGAATCATCTCATCACAGGAGCTCACTTAGCAGGAAAAAATAGCCCTGGGCTCGTGGGAAGTAGAGGTAAACCCCGGGAAATCTTTCCAAATGTGCTAACCTTCTCATCCTAAACTCAATGGGAGAAAACGTTGTTGTAGACCAATTCTGTTAAAGAGGGAAAGAATGAAAAAAGGTGAGGAAGGGCAGATTGGGACTGGTATCAGCAATGTGTTGTGAATTTTACCAGTACCAGAGTCGATCGGTCCACTTCTACTTTTAGTGAGATTTCCAGTAGGAAAAAAGGTCATAAAATAAATAAGTAGTCCCAAGCATCCAAAAAATAACTTAGGACCACAACAGTCATTTTTTCATAGAAATGAAAGTCTGTCAGAAGAAGCTGATGGCGATGAAGTTGCCATTTAAATACTTGTCTGTACAATTTTTAGTTAGTCGGCAGAATGGATTCTATTAGATGACCCAGGAAACTTACCTTGCTTGGGGATTCCAGGGATATCTTCGAAGGTGAGGGTCCGTAGTGAAGGTCTCCAAAACGCATATGACTCCACAAGGGCTTCCAAGCCCATTCTAATGGGAGCATCAGATAAGAAGTGAACAGAAGAAGTCTCATTAGAAGAAGCTGGAGTAATAAGTAGTTCGGAAAAAAACTACTGTCATTTACAGGATGCCCCACAATTATGGGTTAAGATCATGGAACAGGTAAAAAGTGTTTCAGAAATGAACTGCCGTGCTGTTTCCGGGATCACAGGAGAGTATAAACCAACAAAGGTGTTCTGTTAACGTTCTCAGAGAACTTAACCAACCTTGCAGGATAAAAAGTAATTCCCTTAGGCTGAGGTACGTGAGCTGAAAAGCATCCCTTCTAGCTGATTAGCTCTGCTCTGACCTGAAACCTGCCTTCTCCCCTATAATTATTCTCCCTTTGGTGACTATAGCCTTCTCTATGATGAGAAAGCCCTACTGCAAAATATATGCTCCTATAAAGTCACCTCTTTCCTTTAAAGTCATTCTGTCCCTTCCTTTGGTGCGTCAATAGCTAGCTTAGAAGAACACTCACCCAAGAATTGACTTCTTTCTTAGGAACACAATGTCCTCCACACCCAGAGCACATAGGGGAGACTCTCCATCCAACAAAGGGTTTCTGGTAATGGGGGATGTCACTGACCTTTCAGTAAAATGTGTGGGAGCATTACACAAAAGTGATGTGGTAGCAACACAGGAAGGTCATGGGGCAGAGTAAAGTACATGGAGTTGGCATTAGTATCCAACAGTATTTTGAAGTCCTTAAATACCTATCTGCTCAATAAATGTATAGTTCAAGAGAGAGGATATAATGGTTATGGACTATTTACATAATATATATTAAATACATCATACATAATATATGTATTTTATGTTATGCATATTAATTATAATTTAATATAAGGGAAACCAATTTCTATAACTAAATTCTCTAGATTATGCAAATGAGACACTTCACTCAACTAAAGATTTTCTTAATAACTCACCACTCTTCTCTCAACTATGTTATAGCCTTAACCAATTTATTAATCTAGATATAATGCTTTTCATAAGATAGACAGCTCCATTGTAGGTATTATCCTGCTTCCTGAGTGTCAAATAATACTGGAAGATCTTGTGTGTTACTGAACATAGATCGTTTATATTTAACACATATTTTAAAGAGAAGGCCTTAGATTCAGTGGTGACCTCCTCCAGTTTTTCTGTACCTCCAAGTCATTAACTGTGACCTATAAATAGAGGACATCACCCCAAATAGTCAGTACCTACATGACACGATGAAAGCTCTCTAAATATGCACAGAAAATCATCTGTGCCAATAAATCACCTCACTTGCCCTTCTATTCTATAACATTTGCTTCCTTAGAGTGTTCAGATTACTGTTTCCATCAATTTGATGATTTCTGTCCTGATGCCATGAAGAGCTTGACTTCACCATCTTAATGATAGAAGAAGCAGCTGTGTGTGGATAAGCTTTCATGGATGAACCTTATTCACATGACAATGTGACTACCTCATCTTTTAAATCGGATGATGGTGAGCCCCTGTATGCTTCAAAGATAGTCATTTTTGAAGTTCAGGGGATTGTAAATCAATACAATGAGATATCATCTCATACCAGTGAGAATCGCATATAACAAAAAGTTTGGAAATAACCAGAGTTTGTGGGAATATGATGAGAAAGGAACCCTCATTCATTGTTAGTGGGAATGTTGTCTTGCTCAGCCTCTAAGGATAGAAATATGAAGAGTTTTCAAAAGAGTAAGAATATAACTCCCATATAACCCAGAGATACCATTTTGTGGCATCTATTCTAAATACAAAAACATTAATTCAAAAGGATATATGCACACTAATATTCATTGCAGTGCTTACAAAGCAAGGATATGAAAATAACTCAAGAACTCAAAAAGAGATGACTAGATAAACTACGGTATATATACATAATGAATCTATAATAAACGATGAAACCAAGCAATTTGCCACTACATGAATAGAACAAGAGGGTGAATAAAGTCATTCAGGGGGAAAGGAACAGATACAGAATGGTTTCTGTCATATGTAGGATATAAAAATACACAGTAAGGGAGTAACAAGCGCAGAAAGGCAACACAACTGAAGAATTGGTCCACATAACTGTTTTCTTTTTTGTGGTGACAGGGAGGGACTGGAAGGGAAGGGCCTTTTGGACATGGGTAGAGAGAAGCAGGCATTCTGGTGGTGGGTGTGGGGTTGGGATGCACTCATAAAACTCATTAACAATACTCTAAGTCACAGTACCTTAAAAAAAGATGGTGGCAGAAAGAGAGACTAAGGGACAGCTCTGTAACAAGATAGCCCCACACAGGTATTTATACTAGACTGCCAAGAGAAAAGCAGGGGACCAAGAGAACCTGCACATTCCTGAACTGAGTTTCACTTGAGAAAGAAGGGCAAAGTCTGGCTCATGGGTACTGTGACATGTGCCACATAGGAGACTACTAGCCAGGCCCTGAAGTGAGGGTCAAGGAAACTGGACAATAACCACTATTCGTTAAAACTCATTGTGTGACCTTCTGTAATTTTTTTTAACCTCCTTGAACTTCAGTCTCCCACAAAGCAGAGATTAGACTACTTTGAAGAGTCTAAAGTTCTGAATTACCTCCGAGTTTTATTCACTTGATAGTGATTTTTCCCAAGCCAGGCAGGGTGTCTGTGGATTACTATAAAGCAAATCCAAAATCACTCCTCTCAGTAGCATTTTATTTACATTAAAATATTGGGGCTGGAGCAATAGCACAGCGGGTAGGGCATTTGCCCTTGCACAGGCTGACCCAGGTTCGATTCCCAGCATCCCATATGGTCCCCTGAGCACCACTAGGAATGATTCCTGAGTTCAGAGCCAGGAGTGACCACTGAGCATTGCCAGGTGTGATCCAAAAAGCAAAAATAAAATAAAATAAAACCAAATATTGATTTTGGGGTATTAGACAATCTGAACTCAAATCTCATGTAGCCTACAAATAGCATATAATATTCAACTAATGAATGCTGAGTGTGGTTTGGTTGATGACCTTATATTTAATATTATTTTAATATTTTTGATATTAAAATATTTAGAAACAATTTTTAGGGGCTGGAGCAATAGCACAGCGGGTAGGGTGTTTGCCTTGCACGCAGCCTACCCAGGTTCGATTCCCAGCAACCCATATGGTCCCCCGAGCACCGCCAGGAGTAATTCCTGAGTGCATGAGCCAGGAGTAACCCCTGTGCATCGCTGGGTGTGACCCAAAAAGCAAAAAAACCAAAAACAAAAAAAAACAGTTTTTTAAATATTAAGCAATGTTAGGTCACAGTTTTATGCAAAAACCTTTTTATTAGCACATATATAAATTTTAGTCACTATAATTTAAAATATTAATGATATAAACGTGGTCATGCAGTGATCTAAAGGGTAATCTACTAAGAACTCACATCTAGTGAACACAGGACCATATTAGCTATTGAAATGAACAATAAGGCGTTATTGATTTCAGCAATGTAAACTTTAAACACAAATCCTTAAACAACTTCTTGGGGAGATATTACTCATGCCCTCCCAAATACAGAAACCTAAACTTTAAAGAGACGATGTGAAGGCGACCTGTACAAAGTGATCGGACTTAAGAGCTATTGATATTATTCTCGAGGCTGCAGTTTCACACTACAAGTTCCAGAAAGGATTTCAGATATTTTGCAGGAAACCGTTATAAAATATTTATTAGCTGAATCTGGACTTTTTTAAAAAGCCTTCATTTTCCTCAGTAATGGAGACTTTTCCTGTCTAGTTAGAGAAAAGATAAAAGGCACCTCCCGCAGGAGTGGAGTGGAGGCGATAATTTATACAAGATGCCTTTGAACAATTTACACACTTTATCACCACCCTAATTTATGCTATCGAATGGCCAAGTTTATTTAGGAAAATGGTTATGTTTTTCCTGAAGTATTTAAAGAGACGAAATTTTTGTACCTTCCTGAGTAAAAACTTTTATAGGGTCAAACCTAAGGCCTAACTGAAGAATGAAACTATTCTCAGCACATAAATTCTCTTTCACATAGCAAATGTCTTGCAGGAGAGCTTTTAAGGGTTGAAGCTACTGATTCCTATATAATAGGCTGTAGAACTATAAATATCTAGGAACGGATGGCTTTTAATTAAAGCAAATTATCTAATAAAGTTCTTTAAAAATCACAAGTTTACATGTTTTCTTATCCTACTCAATTTATTTACTTCCTACATAAGAAAACTTAAGATTTGTTTCTAAAAAGTAATTGTAAGTCAGTACAAGTATAAAAAGAACCGAGTAAAATAAATAAATACAATAATTTTTCACATGGACTTTCTTCTCTATTAATAATTTAAATCACATCACCCCTCCACCAAGACATATATATCTTGGGTTGCTTTTAAGAAAAAGAATATATAAGTCAAACATCTTTAAGGTTAACAAACTTCTCTCCTCCATTATAAGCACTTTTTGCACTTATCAATGGAAAATACTAGAATGGGACTTTTTAAACAGGGAATATTTATATAGATACATATCTGTATATAAATATATACACACATAACACACTGAAGAGAAAACTAAAGCATATATCCATAATACACACATGTAATTTTTAAGAGCCAAAAAATAAGACTAGTTATTTTACTAATAAAAGCTATGTACAGTTTCACCATATTTCACCCTTATAAAAATGTTTAAATATTTGGGGTAAATCAAAAGGTTAAACTTTAACAAAATTTTAAGTGCTAAAACACAATTATTTTCAGTTCAATAAAAAGTCAATCAAACCGAGAATTTTCACTGTACTCAACCAAACGGGAGATTTTGTAACTGATTTTCACCATCATCACTGAATTATTTCACTAATAAACTTTTTAAAACCCAAGGTCTTTTCTTTATGCAGAATACCTAAATGCCATACGTCTTATCATCAGGGAAAGTTTATTCAGTATTAAATCTACTCAAAATACATTTTCACAATATATTAATTGCTCCAAAATTGAATGGACAAGGTATGGGACGTGTGATACTCCAATATCAAGGGCTGGGGACCTCTGCTAGAACAGTCCTCCATGATGGCTTGCCCGCAATGCCTGGCTCTATGGCTCTAAGTCTTAGTGCTACTCTCTGCTTCAGAGATGTTTGGTACATGCCTTCCCTGCTTGGAAAAAAAAAGGAAAGAACTGAAAGAAATGTGAGGTGAATACTAGCCTGCAACAACCAAAACTGCAAAAATATTCCATCAAAGTATTTGCCAAAGTAGACAAGATGTCATTCCCAAAATTCTCCTTCACCCCCTTGATCAGGGATCATATCAGTTAATACATTATTTAATTTTCAGAAATCTCTCTAGAAAGCAATGTTAACCAGAAGCAAACACAATGAAGTTCAAACAATGCTTTTCTGTACACTGAAACAAACAACTAGAATGACACAGATTAGTTTCAGAACATCAGACAACAGAGATTCAGAATATCTTGAATTTCCCTACAGAGTGAGGGATATCAGAGAAAATTCAGGTTATTATTAGTAGCACAGATCACACATGTACTAAATTAAAGGCTATTCTGCTATCGCAACATATTAGTTGCACTGTATAGAATATAACAATGCTATACCAAGATAAAATCAATTGTTTTCAAGCACTTACTTGGGTACAACCTGATAAAGGTCTATGTCTACCTTGCCCAATTAGCTGAAAACACGAAATATCATCTGATTGTTTTCACTCTAAAAATTCTTAATAAATTGTTCCTGGGTTGGGAGCATATACTGTTGGTAAAGTGCTTGCCTTGCCTGCAGCTGACCTGGGTTTGATATGCAGCACCAAATGTTGCCCCCTGAGACATGAGCATAGAGCTAGGAGTAAGCCCTGAGTACACATCCAGGTGTGGCACGTAAACAACAAAATGACAATAATAAAATAGTTTCAAAAATAATTGGCAATTTTAATTTCATGTCAATACAGCCTATATCAAGTTTTCAAGAATCTTTGAAAAACATCTCAATAGCAATTGCTTAAATGCTTCTTTTGAAAAAAACAGACATGACCTTAATTTTTTTTTTTGATTTTTGGGTCAAACCCAGCAAATGCTCAGGGGTTTCTCCTGGCTCTGCACTCAGGAATTGCTCCTGGCGGTGCTTGGGGGACCATAATGGGATGCTGGGAATCGAACCTGTATCAGCCATGTTGGCCGCGTGCAAAGCAAACGCCCTACCCTCTGTGCTATCACTCCAGCTACCCCAAAACAGACATGACCTTAAAATATTTAAACTAGAAAGTCCTAAGAAGGCATTTCTGAAGCATTAAGTCTATGATAACTCTGTTACTACCAACAGTTATTTTAGAAAACATTACTCTTCTGGGTGGGATGGCACTGGAACTTGGGGCAGTGACAATTACACACACCACAGATGTAGAAAGCTAGACCTATGAAATTATATAACTATTGAAATGCCGATGATAACGTCAATGAAAAATAATATAAAAATAAAGAAAATGTTGTTCAAAACTGTTTTAAAATAAACATATTAATAACCTCAAAAACTCAGCCCACCAACCACTGCGTAATCTGTTTTTTGAAGGCAGATGGATAGTTCTCCCACTTATTGTAGCTCTCCCACTTAGAACAAATATCATAGAGCACAAAACAGAAAAATTAAACAAGTATGTGGCTTTCAGCAGACCTAAGACAAATTTGGAAACCAAGGAGCATTATCTCTCTTGGCAATGGGTCATAGTTTTATGTTCTGGCTAGAAGACTGAGAAAAAAAGATACCTTTCCTATTCCAAAGGCAGAATCAACAGACAGTTGTGTTCTCATAAAGCAAATTCAAACCCCAAAATAGGAAAGATAGAGACTAGGGATTTTGAAGCTTTTGGACTCTAAAGATAGGTTTCTTTAAGGTGTTTTCTGAAGGACTGTGAACTGCATTTCCTCATGACTTCCATTTCCCACACCCACAATGAAACTGCATCTTAGAAATAGGAAGGCCACATTGGGATATTCCAGCAAGTTACCTCCATAGCCCAAAAGTATTACCAAATTTATATAGCCATTTTTGTTTTCTTTAGTACTAACAAATTTAAATTCTTATCAGAAATTATTTCAACACCATGTCAGCAAATTTAACTGCTTAGATAGAACAAAATTCACAATTAAAAGAAATCAAGTATATTTAACACAGCAAGAATGTTCTCCCTGAAGACTTACCTGTTACGGCCAGAGTCTCGGAAGCCTTTGGCAAATGGATTCCTATCAATCTTCAGGCGAGTAATCTGGATAAAATCAAAATCTCACATCAAATCATGTGTAACTGCTAAATAAAGAGGGTTTTCAAAAATGTGAATTTGATTTTTTAGAGACTGAAGTAATCCCAGAACAGACAGCCAGGACACAACACCTGAGCTTTGCAACATGTGGCCCCAAGTCCCCCAAAATACTAATTTTAGAAAGTATACAGAATTAAATAACGGATCCTTCTTCAAAAATCAGTATTTCATAATTATTTATATCATCACTTTATTACTAATACCACCCCAAGACTTTGTTATGCTTTTATTCATATAACCTCGTTTAACCATCTTAACAATTTAAATGTCGCTATAAACTTATTTTATGTTTTTCTTTTAGGATAAGGCTTAAATTTCCTACAATCATGAAGCTATTAAGGGATGTAGCCAGGCTAGAACCTTAATCTTCAGAGCCAGTGCTTGCTAATTACAAGCTGCTTGCCAATTTTTCACAAGATACTGAAAATAGTGGTGGGAAAGTTAGAGACATGAGCAGAATTCGATTGTATCATTACCAGTTTCCCTTCCTCTGATATTCCATTGCCTAAACTGATAATATTTGCTCATTGATATTATTCACCATTAGAAGAGCAAAAACTCCCAATGCATTTCATTGCTGGGAGAAAATTCACATATATTTAACACAATTACGTAACATAGTTATTTGTGCAGGAGAAAAGAGGGGGCAAATGGGAGGGAGAGGAGAGGGAAAACGAGAGGAGTGGCAAAGGAGGAGAAGGGAGAGAAAGAAGAGACAGGAAGAAAGGGAAGCAGACAATGAAAGAGTGAGGTTCATTAAAAGAGGTAAATACCCCTACTCTTTTCCCTCGTGCATTACTTTTCACTGAATTAATTGCATGCACCTATATTTTTAAACACTTTCATTTCTCCAGTGCCTGTAAAGGTTTATTTCATGGTCCTTTCTAAAAGCTAGTAAGGCATGTGAGAGGACAGGGTGACTTCAGCTGCAGGGCTTGTGTCTCTGGGACGATAAAAAAGGAACCAGCCTGTCAGCACTCCAGAAAAAAGCACCCAAGCACAAAAGTGTGTAGGTCTACAACTGTACCTCATGGTCTCTCACTATTAAAAAATAAATTAATTAATTAATTACTAAAAAAAAGAAAAAAGCAGGGATCGTGATCCAAATCACCTATAAGCTCTAAAACAGAAACCACAACTGAAATTTTATAAAGTCTTAAACTTGAGGGCCAGAGCATGAGAACAGTGGCTAGGGCATCTGCCTTGTGCAACCCATCCAGGTTTGATCCCCGGCATCCATAGGGTTCCCTGGAGCCTGCCAGGAGGAATTCCTGAGTGCAGAGCCAGGAGTGATCCCTGAGCACCTCTGGGTGTGGCCCCCCAAACAAACAAAATAATAATAATAAAGTCATAAAATTTTAACTGAGATGTATACAAAATGTAAAGGGAACTAAAGACCTAAAATAATTCTGCTGACCAATAAAATAATTTTTTTTATCTAAGATAATGTTAGGTTACATAACTGCATCTGTTTTAGGATTATGATTTCACAGCTCCTCAGAGTGTATGTTACGATCAATATCACCAAAGGACAATTATGGCCACTGAAAGTACAAATTTTTTTATTTGAAATTAAATTTCTACTCTATAATTTAACTAAAAATTAAAAATCAGAGACGTATCAGTCATTTCAGCCTATTTCTTATGAAAATTAGCTGAAATCATAGAAATTAATTATTTGCTTCTGAATTAATTCTCTGCTTAATTGACAAAATCTCGTAGACTAAAATTGGGAGTAAATTAACAATAATAAATCTATTAAACAAAAATGAAAGACACAACTTTATCCATATAGAAGAGACATTTTTCACTTCTTATACTATTTCTATTCTTTTTTTTTACCAAAACAAAAAGAGTTTTCATTAAAAGAAAATTACTCAAAGATGTGGAAGAAGAGAAAGAGAGGAATCCATGTTCAAGAGAGAACATGGGCTTCTCCAAAGTGGGGAAAAAGCAGAGAAGAAAAATACCTGTTCAAGAGAGAATATAGGTTGGAAAAAGCAAGCAACCCCAATTTCTCCTTTTATGAAAGTATTACTCCAAAACTGCTGATCTCTCGTGGTATATCCATGTGCATCATAATATATCACAATTAAAGTATATCATCAAAGAAATGTTTCTTTTCAATGTAGAGCAAAATTATGGCATTCTGAAATATTTCTCATGATACCCCATCTGTAATTTAAAAACAAAGCCAGCTGCCAAATCCCATGCTCTGTGAAGCAATTCACTTTTCATATTCTAAATGTCCGAGGAAACAGACTTGATTTCTAATTTTGATCATAACTCAACTTTTTGGAATAGAAAATAAACCTATATTGTCAGCTGAGAGATAATTCTTGTGTAAATCCTTCCTAGAATAGCCCTATTGGCAACTCACTGATCAAGAATTGTTATTAATGTGTGTATATATCTCTATATACACATATACATATATACACACCCTAGAAATCATGTCTGGTTTTATGATAAATATTTAGGTACCATGTAAAGGTTATCGGGTTTTCTATTTTTGCCTGAGAACTCTAGAAAAATACCAATTCTGAAAACAGTTTCTGCCTACCTGTTGATTCTGATAAGCTGTAACAGTCGTGAACACAGTTTCTGGAAAGGAAAATGCTTTCACTCCCTCCCCAGAGGGAACAGGTTTAATAGGAGAAAGATCATCCCCACAGTCTTTGCGGATGACGTGAACTCGAGGTTGGTATTTGTGCATAGAATGAAGAATAATCTAGGTAAAGAGAAATAAAACAAAAATATCAGAAATATCTCCTCTGTCCAATCTCAACAATATAACTAAATATTTAATGTGTAGAAGAAGTTCTAATTTGGAAATGAACATTTCCAAGACTGTGTGTTAATTTAATAAAATATGTAAAGATTGGAGAAGAAAGGTTAGTCAGTTAATTTTCAAATATACTTGCAATACAAAAGAAAAATCATTACTTTGGTGAGATGCTATGTACAACCATAAAAACTTTTTTATACCCAGAGGGTATAGAGGCTAAGGTGTTTTCTTAGTACTCAGTGAACCCCAGTTCAATCCCCACCACCACATGGTCACTTATGCACCATCAGGGAACACCTCCAAGCACAGAACCGGGGATAGTCCTGGATATGGCCCCCAAATTATTAAAATTATAAAGATTTAATATCAAATGTTTGTGCTGAAAATGAAACAACAAATTCATGGGCATTTTATTTAAAATTTTTCATTTCATTTCATCATCCTGTTATTCGTCGATTGCCTCGAGCAGGCCCCAGTAACGTCTCTTTCATCCTGGCCCTGAGATTATATTCAAGGCTCTTTAGGAGAATGAGACCCATCATTGTTACTGGTATTTGGCATATTTGGTACGCCATGGGGAGTTTGCCAGACTCTGCCCTGTGGGCAGGCTATATTCAATAGCCTGCAAGTTTGTCCAAAGTAGGAATGAGATAATAAGATGTCATAAAAAGATGTCCTGATAAGATGCCGCGCGGTCGCAAATGCGGCCGCGCGGTTCCCAGAACTGGATTTTATAGTCTCTGAGTCTTGGCCATTGATGGGATTACATGGCGCCAGGGGGTCAGGTGGTGGGTGTGACCCCCGTCTACTGGAGTTTGGAGGATCTGGGTGGAGGATCTGAGTTAAATAGAGCCAGTAAAATTAAGAATGAAATTGAAATTAATAAAGTCCACCAAATTCCATCATCAAAAAGCATTTCTTCACCAAGTTTTTTTTTTTGTCTACACAGCTTTTTCCTATTGGTAACTGCTGCAAGTCTACTGGAGGGCAAAAGGAATTTACAGGGTTGCCTAGCCATAGTTTCTCAAAATCTAGTTTGTTGGGAGAGCCCCATGTCCATGCCTTCATCCTGCGTTTCTATAACACAGATTCCCAGAAAAAAGAAAGCTGACACTCTCATACTTTACAACTGGCATCTGAAAATATGGTTCAACTATCTCCTACCCACTTCTAAGACTTTATCCTCAGGAAATATTCCAATTCCAGAAAAGTGTTTCATGTACAAAGATGTGCCTCGCACAATTTATAAGAGTGGAAAATCTATAAATCATTTAAATGAGTTGACTGGTTAAGTAAGTGAAAATTCACACAATGGAATACAGTATTATGCAGCCATTACTAATGCTGTTTAGGACATGTCTAACGACATAATGAAATGCTGCTTTTTAAATATTCAACCATAAAAATGATGTTTATAAACTTGTCACAACTACATAAAAATAGATGTAAAAAGAATCTATGCAAAGAGATATAGAGAGGACCAATAAAAAGGCTCATCCCTGGATGATGATTGGTCAAAGAATTGAACATATTTAATATATTTTTATTACTTTAATATATTTTTAACGTTCTATGTCTTCACATCTGAGGGAGTAAAGAGCTAGATTTTAAACTGGGATTTTCTATGTCTTGCCGGGATTCACATTCACATTTTATTAGCGAGTTAACAAACCTATATCTTACCTCAGCTTCAAGATTTGAATTCTGATTTGGAGATATTGGAAGTTTGGAAAGAAAAATTTTTATGTAAAAGTAACAGGAAAACACAAAGATGGCGATCTTCCTGATTTTCAAAGGACTATGTTCAGTATAGAAACTCAAATAATTATAGAAGATTTACAGAATAAATCTCTCTCTCTCTGCTAATATATCTTTTCTCTTTTATATCTCCAATTAATACAGGTATTTCCATGGGACAGTTCCATAGTCCCATTCTATACACAAAATGGTTTTCTCATGTTCAGATAAATACATATTTTCCAATACTAAAGGCACTAAATTTGCACCAAAAGAAGCATAGTTTTATTTTTGCTTTTGATGGGTCCAAAATGTCTGCAGTTCAACATGCATTGCTCCTGCTATATCTACTCTTACAATGTAAGTTCAACAGGGAAACTGCTTTCTAAATTTGGAAATTTTCTAGATCAGTAGTTTTGTTTTTTTGTTTTGTTTTTGCTTTTTTGGGTCACACCCGGCGATGCTCAGGGGTTACTCCTGGCTCATGCACTCAGGAGTTACTGCTGGCGATGCTCGGGGGACCATATGGGATGCTGGGAATCGAACCTGGGTTGGCCATGTTGTCTGTGTGCAAGGCAAACGCCCTACTCGCTATGCAATCACTCTAGCCCCCTAGATCAGTAGTTTTTGACCCTTAGACATCTGAAGACCAGAACAAATCTAAGCACCTGTGGTGAAAACTAGTGTTTAGACAGCTTACATGCTTGAGTTGGAACAATAGAGCACAGGACAAAGAAAAACAGATTTTAAAAAAACAAAACAAAACAAAAACCTGATTCCCTGCATTTTCTGTGATAACATATAACGACTAAACAGGAGGCCATTGAAGTAACATCAGTTTGATCAGTTTGTAACCTCCATAGTAAGGTGACCTTGATTTTGTTTAAGGTGACACAGTGTAAACAATCCTTACAGGTGCCGGTGTCTACTCACATACACAGAAACACATTAGTTCATCTGATGACTCACAATTCTCTGATTTCAATATTTCCCATAAGAAAGTCAAGCCTCGGGAGCTGAGTAGATTTGCCCGTGATTATTAACAAGATCATATACCTCTAAGCTCTTGTATGTTCCTTCTCTCACAGATATCAGCCATCTCCCTCGGATAATTTGATTTCCTATCTGATTCACAAGAATAAAATGGGGGATCACTAAGCTCTCAGGAGCTGAGAGAACATACCTTCCCACCTGGGTTTTGGTTGTGACTGCCTTTCTTCCAAAGTATCCTAGCGCTATGAGTCAGAGTCTACCAAGGTTTTACACACCCCCTGCACGGCAGAGCCTGGCAAGCTCCCCGTGGCGTATTCGATATGCCACACACAGTAACAACAAATTCTCCAATGGAGACGTTACTGGGCCCGCTCGAGCAAATCGATGATCAACGGGAGGGCCTTTACTTTACTTTTTAAAAATGTTTCTAATTCTTTAGATCAATGCTGATCAAAATCTTTGCCTTTAGCAGAAAACTCTGGATAACAAGGGAACATGTACTTTGAAGGAAATGTCCTACTCAAGTATAGTACATGACTGCGTTGTACAAAACCCAAACCAAATCTGGCCACAGATTCCCCAAGGAGCACTGGAGCACTGGAGCACTGTCCTCCCTTCACTGATTTGCTTGAGCGGGCACAAGTAACATCTCACAACAAATTGTGAGACTTGTTGTTACTGTTTTTTGGCATATTGAATACGTCACGGGGAACTTGCCAGGCTTTGCCGTGTGGGCAAGATACTCTCGGTTGGAAGAATTATTATTGGAGAGAGGTGGAGGAATTGAATCCAGGTCGGCCACGTCGGCAAGGCGCAAGGCAAATGTCTTACTCACTGTGCTATCGCTCCAGCCCACCCCAAGGAGCGGGGGGGAAAACCCACAATTCCTTTCGATATCTTTACCAATATTGTTTCCTAGTATCACTGGTATTTGAAAAACTGAAAGTCGTTTTGGAGAAAATATATGGCACAAGTATTTATGTAGCATGCTGTGCTGTGTTGTGATCATAGCCTCTTGAATATCTGACTTCCACAATCATTCTGTGTTAATAACAGTCTTCAGCATGGGTCTGGAGAGTAAGTACAGCAGGGAAGACACTTGCCTTGCTTGCCGCCAATCCCAGTTCTGTCTCAGGCACTGCATATGGTCCTTAAGGACCCCACTGAGACTGACTCTTGGGCCCAGAGGTAGGAGTAAGCTCTGAACACAGCTGGATATGACTTCAGAACCAAAGCCAAAACAACAAAAGTTCCGGTTCCACCAAGAATTTTCACATTTTTTTGAACATTTATTAGCTTTAGCATAATAAATTGAAAACTTAGAGTACAAAAAAGATTACAGAACAATTTAGAATACAACCACTCTGATTTGACATCTTGCTAAGTTGGAGACCAGTACTACATCCTTTAGAACTGAGAGGACCCTCAATCAACCAAATGAGGGCATAGAGTGAGCTTCTTCTGCATTAAAAATGAACTGTTGGGTCACAAAGTCTTTCCATAATGGTACTACTCTCTTTTTAGACCCAGAGTCACAAGAGAAATGCAGCTTCACCACTGATCCAGGCTAATTTGGCTAATTTGGGGACACTGAATATAAATAAACACAATATACATTTTCATGAAGTTTTCTTCCTCTTTCCTACTGGAACACTAGGCATCTATATGTCTCTGAGTTGATACCACACTTATCTGGTTTTTTTTTTCTCTCCATCTAGGCAAAAATAGCATCAAAGGCTTTTTACCAATGCTTTTTATCTTTTACTACAGTCTACAAAGTTTTCAAAAACATGCCTTTTTAATAATGAAAAAAAAAAACATTTGGGGACTGGAGTGATAGCACAGCAGATAGGGCGTTTGCCTTGCACATGGCCGACCCGGGTTCAATTCCCAGAATCCTATATGGTCCCCTGAGCACCACCAGGAGTGATTCCTGAGTGCATGAGCCAGGAGTAACCCCTGTGCACCGCCAGATGTGACCTCCCCCCAAAAAGAAAAAGAACATTTTCCTTCAACAGTCTCCCCTAGTATTAAATTCTATATGTATCTACATTTACCATTTTCAAAGATAATTTCCTTGCTTCCAAAATATACAAATACATCTTCCTCTCCTATCTTCCCCTATGCATTAATTACCTTCCTTTACTTAAGTCGTGCGATAGCACAGCGGGTAGGGCGTTCGCCTTACAAGCGGCCAACATGGCCAACCGAGTTCAATTCCTCCGCCCCTCTCGGAGAGCCCAGCAAGCTACCGAGAGTATCCGATATGCCAGACACAGTAACAACAAAGTCTCCAATGGAGACGTTACTGGGCCCGCTCGAGCAAATCGATGATCAACGGGAGGGCCTTTACTTTGGCTGGAGCGATAGCACAGCGGGTAGGGCGTTCGCCTTACAAGCGGCCAACATGGCCGACCCGAGTTCGATTCCTCCGCCCCTCTCGGAGAGCCCGGCAAGCTACCGAGAGTATTCGATATGCCAGACACAGTAACAACAAAGTCTCCAATGGAGACGTTACTGGGCCCGCTCGAGCAAATCGACGATCAACGGGAGGGCCTTTACCTTTACCTTTTACCTGCTATAACTCTAAAAGAAGTATTTTAATAGTAGATGGCATACTTCCCTATATTTTATCAGCTTTCTTTTAATGTTTCTATTTTCCGAATAGTGAAATAATTAATGAGATTTAAGAAAAAAATATTTAATTTGATATCTCTTTTTTTGTGGCCTAGTTTGTTGTTGCTTTTAGATCCCAGGGCTTAACTGTACTCAGTTAAGCTCTGTACTCAGGGATCACTCTTAGCTGTGTTAGGAGATTACATGTGGTGCCTGAGATCAACCTTGAATCAGTTTGCAAGTATACTAACCCCTGTTCTATATCTCTGGGTCCTCCTTTGAGTTTTAACCAAATGGCAAATTGCTAATTAATTGTATGTGTCAAATAGGCTTCACCTAGACGTTTGGTAAAATTTTATTTGTGTAGATGTTGTTGTGGTATTTTTCAGATAGTATTAACATTAAAAGTAGACTCTGAGATTCTGAGACTATGGCCATAGTTCAGAAATAGCATGTTCCACAAGTTTGAGGGCCTAAGTTCTATCATTGGCACAATACGCAGATATGCAGATGGACAGATAAAGCAGTGGACCCTGAACAAAGCAGATTCTCTCCATAATTTTGATCGACCTTATCCAATCAGCAGAAAGCCTCATAAGAAAGACGTAGGACCCATGAGGAATTGAATACAGCCTCTACTATAGAGCCTCCAGGCTTGAACTGCCAACATCTGCCCCAGACTAGATCTTTAATCTCACCCTGCCTGGATTTCAAAGCTGCCAGGCCCACAATTATCGGAGACAATTCCTTACAAACAAATTTCCCCCTCTCCATTGATTTATACACATTCTATTATTTGTTCCTCTGTAAAACACGGATTAAATTTTAGAGAAATTACGTTATAATAACACAAACTACTAGATGTCTAAAATTGAATATGCCAATATTTTATATATAAAACCCACAATCTGAATTAGATTAGAATTATAAAATGATCAGACTCATTTAAGTATTAAAAAGTGTTTGGACTTCATTACAGGACAGTGTAGTTTCAGACACAATTATCTACGTTTATTTGGAGGTTCGGGGTTTGGGGCTACATCAGGTAGAGCTCAGTATTTCCTCCTACTCAGTGTTCAGGGACCACTCCTTTCAATGCTCTGAGGACCATTTGCAGTCCCAGGGATTGAATGAGTATTGCACGCAAGGCAAACACCTTACCCACTGTAATATCTTTCTTGCTCCATATCATCAAAGGATATTATATCTAACTTTAGAACTCATAAAGATGGAATATAGTTAAGGCTATGAAGAAATTTAATATCTATTGGAATTAGTCTAAAATTTTCAACTAAAAGAAAAAAAAAAGAAACAACCCATAATGTACAAGGTGAGGATAACTCAGTCAACTCACTCAACAAAGCAGAACCAAAAGTATTTCACTGCAGTCAAATGAAAACTACCAGTTACAACTTGATTGTAAATGGGAAATTTCAAAAAAGGAAAGTAATATATTAACATATGGAGCATGAAGTTGGTTTCAGAAATCATATCTATTAGCTACTTTTCTGATATTGTTTTAAGTAATAAAGGACAACAAGAAAACAAAAGTGTTAGCAGTATGAGTGAGATCTTTCTTGATATTTCTTAAAAATCTAGATACTGGATCTGTACCACAACAAAATATGTACTTGAATAATTATACAGTCAATTGCTTAAGATATTGTGTAGCAACTTGGCTGATCATATTATCACAATCATGATTTTATAACAGTTTGCATTAAATTTTTTTTTTTTTTTGCTTTTTGGGCCACAACCAGCAATGCACAGGGATTACTCCTGGCTCTGTGCTCAGGAATCACCCCTGGCAGTGCTCAGGGGACCATATGGGATGCTGGGAATCGAACCCTAGTCGGCCGTGTGTAAGGCAAACACCCTACCCGCTGTGCTATTGCTCCAGCCCCATTGCATTAAAATTTTTCCACAATATTCTCTAAGTCTATCACCCCTTTCAGAAATGAAGTAGTTGGTATTCCTTCAATCTGTGATACACTCTTCAAAAGGCATTTCAAGTGCCAGAACAATAATACAGCAGATAAGGAGTTTGCCTGTAGGGATTTTCCTTGCATGAGGCCCACCCAGTTCTATTTCCAAGCACCACATATGGTCCCTCAAGCCTCACCAGGAGTGATTCCTGAGCACTGAACCAGAAGTAAGACCTGAGCACTGTGGGTATGCCCTAAAAAACAAAAACAAATGAACAAAAGTAATTTCTATCCTGTCCTCAAATAAAACTATCTCAAGCAAGAGAAACCTAGCAAGATATTATAGCTTCGAACGGAAATCAGCATGTGTCCATATTCTTTCTCTATTAAAATAATAATATAAAAATCTGGTCTAGGAATAATACTGCATAAAATGAGTAGATGTTAAAAATGACTATATTACTAGAATGACTTACTTGGACTTGTATATCGTATTTCAGCATTTTAAGACTAAAGGAATTATTACTGTAACAGATTTGGCACATTAAATGTCATTACTAAACAATTAGGAACTTTCAGATGAAAAATACAAACAGCTTAGTCACGACCATTACTGAGAACCAGTGAACCTCAGTGGGAAAAGAGCTGGATGCAGGCAAGACACAATAAACCACAATTAGTTAACCCAATGCCCAAGAATTCATAGTCAAAAAAAGCAATAGCTATGCTTCATGGGATTTCAAACAAATGTCTTGGCGAAAAATGACTGTCTTAGGTTCCTTTATTTAAGAACAATTGTAGTTATCTCGTTTCAACCTTCTAAAAGCTTCACAGGAGAGTGGGGCCACTGGCATCACCTCGAATGCAAAGAGAACCTTGGTTTCACGTTTATGCACATGTTCATCAGTCAGTAAAGACATATTATGACCTTAAAAAAAGATCTTCAGCCAGGCACAGATGACCCTGCTGTGCTATTCAAGCAGTGCCTTGGGTTGACCGTCTACTCACATGGCCTTGATCATCCAGTTCGTTGTTGGTGAGCTTCAGTTTGTCAAAGCTGATCACTTGTCTCATCCAAGTCTCTCCGGAGGCAGGTGAGTCTGGATGAATGTACACCCGGGGGGGTACCGGGGAATCAGCATTTCCTGCCACCATCCATTTAGAACTATGGTACACGTACCTAGTAGACAAGAATAAGGCTCAGTGTGTTGACTATTGCGTAATCTTGAAGCAGAGCAAAAATCAGATAAAATCTTTATTCCCTGTTTCGATTCTAAAAACAATTTTTTTCTTTACCTCTAGTGCATATTAAATAAAGTTTCACAAACTTTTCAAAAACTCTGAGACAACAATGACCTGTGACACAAAATAAGCAATAAGTAGAGGGCTTAGCAAAACATACGTACACTATCACTACCACAAACACCAGTATTCCCGTTCTCACAAATTTCTTTTGTTCATGCTATACATCTGCATGACTTCGGATATTTTCCTTCTTTCGTCTGGATATTCAACTGATATGAAGAAACTATTAAGTTGTCAACCTCACCTTTAAGTAATTCTCAATTATGGATATTTGAGAAGAAAATTATACAGTATCCCAATTCCTCTAAGATTGCCCCCCAGTTTTGCCTTATGCGCAATAGAGGTTTCAGAAGTTCCAGCTTTTATTTTTATACAAGAAAAGGCTTTTATCACTAATCACTTAGGATTATTTTTCTATTACATTCTAAATTGAGGCAAATTTAGTTTAACTCGATAATTTTGTGTAATTATAAAACAGTGCTCTTTAGTCACAATATTGCTCATTTGCATTTGTAAGAAAATTATTACATTTTAAAATACTACAAAATTTAAATATTTATTTTATCGCTAATTAAAAAATTTCAAACTTTGCGGGCTGGAGAGATAGCACAGAGAGTAGGGCATTTGCCTTGCACGCGGCCGACCGGGGTTTGATTCCCAGCATCCCATGTGGTCCCCTGAGCACCGCCAGGAGTAACTCCTGAGTGCAGAGCCAGGAGTAACCCCTGTGCATCTCCAGGTATGACCCAAAAGGCAAAAAAATAAGAAAATTTCAAACTTTGAAAATGGTTGTATATTTAACATTATTTTCCTGGTATTTTTTTTTTACAACAACCTATTACTGGGCCCGCTCGAGCAAATCGACGATCAACGGGAGGGCAAATAAAAAAAAAAATTCTTTTTCTTTATAAATGTCCAACATACTCCATAAAAAATACTTTTTAATAAAATGTTTCAAGTAATACACAGTCATCACATTTAATCCCATATACAGATTATATCTTATTAATTTAAATTATGATTCAACTTTTAAAACCAGACTATATAAATCACTTAGAAAATATGATAAGACAAAATTATCTTAGCATTTTTCAACCATTTATACTTTTCTACCCCTGTTAACACAAATGTCACACAATTAAAGCAACACTTTGCTACAGTTTCAGTGAATTCTCCCTGAGTGTTATGCAAATTTCTTATAAAAAGACATGAAACATTTTTATTGGACCTTTCTATTTCAATTAAGTCTTGATATTTTATTCTCTTTTGAACTCAATATGGCATCTATTCCTTAATTTCTTTCTTTGTGGGAATACATAATCACAAAATGAGCAATTTTTTATAAACTTCCCTTAATATAGAATATACAATTTAAAAAGATAAGGTCTTAGTTGTCTAAACATTTGTGAATATTAATTTAATAACTTATTATTTTAATTATACTAGCACTCTCTAGTGAGAGAATAAACAAAATACTTTCCAATACTGTCTGAAAAGTTGAAAATATATGCAAATTTTAGAAATGCAGAATAAAAATACATTCTTTATACAGATATAGTTATTACTAAATTATAAGATCAGTAAACTCCACCATAAAATCTTGAAAACATATTCATATTGAAGGGTCTGAATAGCTGAAGAATTTACAAGCACAGAGAGAAAAAATACTATATGTTCTCCATGAAGCACTTAAATATGGACGCTAAAAACAACTTCTGCTTAGGTAGCAATATAAGTGAAAGCAAAGTTATGGTTTATAATTTGGTTTTATAAAATGTGGCATTTAACACTAATACTTGAAATTGCTTTTGTTTTATGTGAGGGTAATAAAATTCCACCAAGTAAAATAATCCTCAAAACATGTAGGAATAGATTGGGGACTGAAATAGATAAACGTAGAAAGGATTAATTTCTAAATTCATTAAGAATTATATTATCTTCCTCAGAACAAGACCCAAATCTAGAAGATGAATTTTAAATCAAGTATAGTTTAAAAATGAATTTCAATGCTATGTATAGCTAATTCATACAGTAGATGTTAGCAAAAGTTCGAGCTAATTAAAATAAGTAATACAACTTATACACAAAAAACTGTCCTTTTGTTACCCATTTTTTAATGTGTACTTGTACTAAAATCTCTATACTGTTGACACCCTAAAAATGCAAATCAAAATACTGCTTAAATTTTTAAAAGTCACAAGTTTATTTCATTCAAAAATTTACTGAATTTTAAGCTGTTTATGAAAATTTTAAAAAGGAAACTTAAACATCAAGGTTCAGCACTTGATTTTTTTCCTTTTAAAACTCTTCAGGAAACTAAAGAGCACTGTCATTAAAAATTGCAGATTTTCTTCTGTGTAGAAGGAAATGAGTAAATATTGCTTTGAAGCTGAAGAATATATATTTTTCTAAATTTACTGGATATCCAGAAGAATATATTATCTTTCAAAATCCAAACACTTATGTGTGCTTATCTTTTAAATTTGTATTAACTACCACCAAAGAACAATAAGGGAACAAATTCACTACCTGTTTAAAGGTATCTACATATCATTTGAATCATGAGATTTTAATTATTTTCTAATTATAAAAATTTAATTTCTCCAATTAAAGGGAATAGCTTGCAAGCAGTTGTTTTTTTAGTTCTAATATAGCAAGATAAAGGACATTTATTTAAAGATCAAAGTATCACAAAGAAAGTGAAACACTTTGTTTCCCATCAAATTTACCTACAAATTTAGCATTTCCTCTCAGAACTCTATAATCAAAATGCAAATCAATATAAAGGACACACTACCTATTGCAACACTCAACTGGACCAAATTTAAAGTCCTTAATACTTAGAGACATTTATGTATCTCTTAAAAGCAAAAATAAATGAAATCCCACATTAATTGTAGATGAGGGCACAAAGTTTGGAGAACTAGAAGGATAAGAAGGGTTGGGTTATGCGCCTGGAAATTCTGTAGGCTTCTGGAAACAAGCACCGTAATCTTTAGAGATCAAACAGATACTATCCTTAAAATCTTATCATTTTCTTTTTCTGTACCCATCTGTTCACTCTACCTGTATCTTTTATTGTCCACTGGCACAATATCCATAGCAACGTAATACTGCTGATGAGGATCTAAGCCTGAGATCTTGACTCTCATTGCTGGAAACATTCGCCTAAGAATAAAGGATGGGAGGAAGAAGGGGGGGGGGGGGGGAGGAAAAAAGGAAGGAAAAAAATTGTTTGTCTCTGCTTGTGCATAAAGGACAAATACCCAAATAAAGCCCCTCTGGAATCTCAATTTTTCATATGAATAAGTTCACAGCACTTGCTTTGGTGGAAGAATCAAAGCACAGCCCATCATATTTTTTTTCTTTTAATGTAATTCGTTCTACCCTGTGGATACATTCTCTGTTTACTAAAATGTCAGTAAAGTTAAAAAAAAAAAAGTGCATTAACAAAGTAATGACACGAAAAAAAAATCCCTTATTTTTAAAGCAGAAATCAATAAATGCATCTATAAGAATACAAATGACAAAATGTTCCAAATGGGAGAAATATAAAATTTGAATTTCTGAAAGTGATAAAATATAATGTGAAATTTTAAAAGGGCTATTAAAAAAACCACAAGGAGCCAATGTGCCATGCCATAACCAAACAATATGTTCTTTATTGAGACAGGACTTCCTGTCTGCAGTGTGGTAAGGTGAAGTGCAAAAGTTTCTCTAAATTTGAAAGGTATAGTAAAACTTCTTTATTAAAAGCAGAAACTAAACACAACGTATATTTACCAATCCACTCTTACTCCATTGTGCCCTGAAAATACGTTCTTGTTCAGCCATGAGTATTTAAAATTTTGCTACCTTTTAAAAAATAAAAGATTATTTTTTTATTTTCTCCTGGCTTCTCAGACATGCTGATGAAAGGAGAAGCTCAAGCAAAGGCACCCATCATTTTAAAAGGGAGCAGTAGCAAAGAACACAACAGCAAATTAATACTTTTGAAACACAACTAAAGCCATTCTTTCACTTTTTAAAAGCACTTCTCTTGAAGATTTATATGAAGAACTCTTCCAGTTATTTTTTTTGCTAACTTGTTCTTATAAATAAGTTTCAGTATTGTTATTCAACAAAAACAGTTTTCTACACCAGTAATATCATAAAAAGCTGTTTCCAAAGAAAGTCCATTATTTCTAACCAGGCATGAAAACAGTTTAATATGTTGCCTGTTTTAGTGTTATTTCAGTGCACCTGTAAGATAAAGAGTAAAGGTCTTTAACTACATCCTTTATAAGACAACTATTGCTTTGTGTTTTTGAAGACTGAATTTGGATCATTAATAAAAGCTCTGTGAAAATGTAGAAGGTAGCATATGGGTTCAATAAAATATGTTTTTGTTATTTCTAATAAGTTTGGATACCTTTTATGCTATCCAGGTTTTTGCCATGTGTACTCCCTGAAAGGGTTGTGTGTGCTTTGTAGAGTTTCTTTTAAGGGGAATATTATTTTAGATTTCACTGCTTTACATAAAATGAACATTTTAACTTGCAAATACTCCGATGCCTATCCCAAGTTAATATGACGTGGATAACAAATCCATGTATTCTACTAACATAGATGTACAAATTTCACACATTCCAAAGCACAAATTTAATTTAACATCTTACACGATTTTAGATTCTTCAGCAAATCTAGGTAAATGTGCTGAATTTTCTTTAGAAATAATTTTCAACCAGAGAACGGTTGATCCACAAACGGGTGGGTTTTTTTGTTGTTGTTGTTGATGTTGTTGTTTTTAAATCAGAGTAACTGATTTTGCAAGGATGAACACTCTAATCAGCAATTCTAGAAAATTTCCATACCTAGTCTAATATCAAAATAGTATAATACATCGCGTTCTCATCTTCCATAAGATCTTCTGACAAAGAACCAACCTGGAAGTTCCAATCAGAAGAAGCAATGCAGTTTCCTGAACTACTTTTGAAAGGGGACAATAGTAGAGCGAGGGGATCGACTCTCCCAGCTATCCATCCAGAAGTAGTAACCAAATAGAGCCAAAATAAATGACTTTAGGACTTTGGTGCCTGGGCAGCCGTCAGTAGTCAGTAGGACCACGAATCTATGAAGTACCCTGAGCGAAGGAAGAATAAGCGAATGCTACCGGTCCGATCCGAGGCGCCAGACGTTCTCCCTCCAGCATCCAAGCAGAGGATGGGCGATGAGGCCGTGGCCTGCAAGGACCGCACTGAGGACTGAGAAGCAAAGCCAGCCTCAATGTTGGCCACGATCGAAGGCCCATCACCGACCGTGGACACACATCCACTGCAGAACCTCCTCCTAACCCACTCCGGGAAAGCGAGGCCAGCACCTGGGGCCACGGGAGAAGGTCTGGGTAGGGGTGCTCTCGCAGGTTACCTGCCCGCCTTGGTGATGATCATCTCCGTGCCAATCTCGTGGAATCGCTTCCAGAGCTCCGCTCCTTGCAGATCCACCCGAGGGGCCGGCGGCGAGGGCAGCGGACTTCCCGGCCGAGCTAGGGCAGGAGCCGGAGACCCCTTCGGGGAGCTTCCAGGGCTCGCCAGTGGGGATGCGCCCTGCGGGAACCCGTCCTCGCAGCCTGCTGGGCAGCAAAGAGCAAAGAGAGGTAACCAGAGCGCGCTCCGAGAGAGGAGTTGGTAGGACTTCGCGGTCCCCGGAGTGCTGCTGGAGAAAGATGGACTTCGCTGGGTAAAGGGTGCAGCTGCTTAACCTGGGTCCTCAAGCTAACCAAAGGCACAGATAAATCCTCTTTCAGGCCGACGAGGTCCGGCCGACTGACTGGGCCACCCAGTGCCGAGCCCGTAGATGAGAACGAGCGCGCCCACGCCACAATCCCGGGCCTCCGCTAAGGCCCCCAGATAAGTTTTACTCCGCTTCTGAGGTCTGGGACAAGTGTACCCAAGGAGCCCAGGACCCGTCCCTAGTACCTATCCCCAGGGACCACCCAGGTGCACCCCACGAGCCCCTAGGGTCATACGCAGAACCCCCTTTACCCCCCAAAAAGTCCTGCTCCGGGACCCGGAGCGCTCTAGCCTCTTAACGGGATCTGAATCCGAGATGCCTGGCTTTGGGTGCAAGCTAGTGTTATCTTCTGGAAAGCATTTCAATTTCTGCTCCCGCCAGACTGCCAGTTGCCTTGGGTCTTGAGCCAAACCACCCAAGGACGAGACGGACGCGACAGACAAGCCTCTCGGTGGCCACGGGCGTTGAAGCCGGCTGGACGACGGGGACAGCTGGGCGAGCCCCGGGAAAACTACGTGTGCAACGACGCGGCCCTCTTTCCTGCTCTTTCTCGGGAGTTTAGATTTCCGGGGTTTAACACGAATACTCAGGGCTTTGGAAAGTTTGGAAAGAAAAAAAAAAGTGCACCCATTGGCTGGAACCCGGCGGGAGGCCGCTGCGGCACGCGCCTTCGCCCAGACCCGCGCGGCCAACTGCGCTTTGGGGCGCGGCTCGGGGGATGGGGCCACCGCAGAGCGCAGGGCCCGGGTGGCGACCGAGTCTGCAAAGGGCCTCCGGGGCGGGGGGCGAGCCGGGCGCGCGGACGCCCAGGATCGCCGCGCGGGGGGGTGGGGGCGGCTGCGGGGCCCGGGGCGCCGGGGGTTTGGGCGCGCGCGGGCGCGCCGAGCGCTTCTGGGGGTTCCGGCGCTCGGAGGCCGGGCGGGCCCGCGAGGGGACGTGGCGCGCGGGGGAAGCACCGGGCCAGGCAGGGGCCGACTCACCCGAGGTCTCGCCCGACCCGCGGCTCGGTTCCAAGTCGGCGGCGCCGCGGGCGGGCCCGGGTGCGGCGGCCGCGTCTCCCTTCCCGGAGCCGCGCTCGCCCGGGCCGCCGCCGCCGCCTCCGTCCTCCGGGGCCGCTCCCGCCTCCGCCGCCCCCAGCCTTCGCCGCTTCTTCTGCAGCTGCTGCTGCTTCTCGGCGCCGATGAGCGCCTCCACCGAGAAGGCGTGCGCCCGGAGGCTCAGCACGCTGCACGGGGAGCCCCTCCGCTTCTCGGCCATCCCCGCCGCCCCGCGCCCGCGCCCCCCAGGCTCATAGACGCCCCGGCCGGCCCCGCGCGCACACGCGCTCGCCGTGCCCAGCCGCGCCGCGCGCCGAGCCGGAGCCGGGACGCGGGCCCGCTCGGGGCCGAGACCTGCTCCCCCGGCCCGCCGCGGGCTCCCGGGGCAGCTCGGGGCTCCCCCGCGCTCGGGCGCGCGTCTGCGGGGCCGGGAACTTCGCTGCGCGCCCGCCAAGTTCCCTCCTCTGGGTCTCCGGCGCGCGCTCCTCTCTGGCTCCTGCGCGCCTTCGCTCCCACCCGCTCCACCTCCTCCTGCCGCTCCGAGATCGGCCTCGACTGATGCGCCAGGGAGGACTAACAGGGGGAAAAGAACACTCTGCGGACACAAATTAGGGATTGTAATTGAAATTTGTTGCCTTGATCTGTCAGCACTTCCAGGCAGGAGAGCGCTGGGAAGAACTTGCTCATTAGTGTCAATAAAGTGGCCGGGGCGGAGTCTGCGGCCTTGTCCATCAGGAGGACGGCCGGCCAATGAAGGAGCGGCCACCCCGCGCCGCCCGCGCCCACTTCCTTACAAGGTTGGGGCGGGAGGGGGTAGGGAAAAAAAAAAAAAACCCAAAGAGTGGAAGGCGCCGCCGTCTGGCTTGCAAGTGCCAGGCCCGGGCGCTGAACTCGGTCAGCCTAGCTGCCTCCCAGACCCCACGGCAATCTCAGGAGTCCCCATCAGGACTTAGGAAGACCCCAGACTACTGGCTTTAAACCAAGGCGGTGGCGAATTTCGAAGAGAAGCAAGAGTCTTTGGAGAAACTCTAAGATCCCTCCCACTCCCTTATCATTGACTCTCAGTGGGACCCGGAACGTTTCGGGAATTGGAAATACTCACAACACAGACCAACTCTTACCATTCAAGTGATGTTTTCGTATTTAGGAACACCCAACCCACTCTTGTGCCGGGTTAGCACTGGGCTCATTCGTTGTTTAACTTGGGAGAACGAGAAATACTCGATATACTTATGTTCTTTCTATTTAGAAAAGCACTTTTTTTACATTTTCGCTTAGTCTCTCACAGTCAGAAACAGCGCGCTCCTTCCAGAGCCTTTCTCTTCTTTCAAAGCAGAAGAATTAATTTAAAACGTAGGTCATGAGATCTTAATTCGGCCTGTCTTTAATGTTCAGGGCTTAGCTTTAAAACCTCTTAAAACTGTGCAAAGTAAAATAAGTTTAAAGATGTCATAAAATTCCCCCTGCTGTTAAAAAAAAAGGTCTGTTATTCTTATAATAACTTTTTTTTGCTCTTTTAAAGACATGACTATTTTTAAGGAACTTTTTAATTTTGAAAAATTTAAATTGAAAGAATTTTTGTCATACAAAGAGTGTAGTTTGTTTCATACTTTCCACTCTACTTCTTGTCAGTTTTAATCCCCAATTGGGCATGGTGTAAACAGAGGAAAAATACCTCCTACACAATGAAACTCATCATTCATATTTTATCCTTCAAGTTTTGGTACAAAGTACACTGCAATTTTTTTTTTCTCTCCCCTGTTCAACTCAACTCACACAACTGCTGACGATCCTACTGACTGACTTCTCTCTCGATTTCAGTAGAACAGTTCGTTCGAAAAGCAGCTTCACCACTGCGATCCTTGAGCATTAGAAGCGCCACGCGCGGGACCCCCAAGGCCACCAGGCCAGCCAGAACCTAATCAAACTGTGCCCTGAGGCACCCGAGCGTTGCCTGCAAGGTCTGACCGGTCAGTTCAGGATCAAAGCCGAACTGGTAACCGCCTGGAGCAGGAGGCCTCTTTCAAATTCTTGAAAGACTTATCCCATCTGAAAGGGTTGCGTTGCTTTTGTGAAAGAACGGGCGCTGGCAAAAGTCTGGAGCTGTCCACGGCCGGGAGGGTCGCTCAAAACCGCTCAAAGCCCAGGCGGGAAACACTGCCCGCAAAATCAGCGCAAACCCGGCTTCGGAAGCCTGGCGGCGCGCAGAAGCAGGCCTGGAATTGCAAGCCGGCCACCCACCTCAAGGACTTGGACCAGAACGGGGGAGGACGAAGTTAGGGGAGCAAGATCAGGACGTGGCTGGAGCTTAGAGCTCCGCACCGTTAGGGTTTAGGAATCCCGTGGTAAGAACGTGCAAGGACCGGGCTCCAGGCCCAAACTCCCGGTGGCCTAGAGGGGCAGAGCCCCGGCGCCTTTGAGGTAGCCGCAGAGACTTGGGGACGCAGAGACCCAGGAGTCAGAAGGCCGGAACCCTCCGCACTCCTGGACCCCGCAGCTGGGAAAGGAGGACCTGCTTGTCCCAAGGAACTGGGGCCTCCGGGGGACCAGAACGGTTTCCAGACAGATGCCTGCTTGGAAGTTCTGGTTCTTTACAAAAATCCCGAGCCTAAACTGATTTGGAGAAGACTACCAAGTCCCAAGGCTCCCTTTATCCCACCCACGGTTCTCCAGACTTCATCCAGTTCCGCAAGAGCCACGGACCCCAGGAGCCAGGTGCTACCCGCTGGCTTGTGTTCACACTGAAGACGGGCTAAAAAGTCGGGTCTCACAGGAACCACGAGGCCAAATAGTACGTGGTCCCTAGAAATCATTCGCATTGGCACGGGACTCTCAGGACGGGACTGAAAGACGAAAGCGCTAATCCCTTCAGTCCAGGTCCCTGCTGGGGGTGGGAATTTTAGCTGCAAAAGCCGGAGTGCTGCAATGCCTTGGATTGGAAGTGCTTAGCATCGCCTTCACCTCAGATTCTGCACCCGGGTCCGGCTTGGAACAACAGAAGCATCAACGCCCTGGAGCGCTGCTTGCTTGGGGAGGGAAGGCGCCTGGTTCTGCCCAGCGCAGGAGTGGAAGAAGCAGGAGTCGACTTTGGAGTGGTGGCCAAGCCGTGGCCCTCAGCGAGACGTTTTCATGGATCCTCGCACCCGCGTGCCTGAGTCAATCCTGTACCTTGCGCTTTGGGAGTGGGGGGGGGGGGGGGAAGGGTGCACCATCTAACTGGACTGGACGCAAAGAAGCGAGAGGGGGAAAAAATCCAGCCCAGGAGCGTTGCCGCGTGTGCACGTGTCTGTGGACGCATCTCTAGGTAGGTGCGCCTACAAGCGCACCTGTGGGCCTGTAAACGTGTGTGTGTGTTTGGGGATGGAGAGAGGGTGGGTTATTTGGACCAGGAGCTGGGGCCTCGAGTCTCTTTGGAGGACAAAATGTCTTGGTCTAGTACATTGAACTTGGATTAAAATGATGACATTAGGGGCTGGAGCGATAGTACAGCGGGTAGGGCGTTTTCCTTGCACGCGGCCGACCCGGGTTCAATTCCTAGCATCCCATATGGTCCCCTGAGCACCGCCAGGAGTAACTCCTGAGTGCAGAGCCAGGAGTAACCCCTGTGCATCACCGGGTGTGGCCCAAAAAGCAAAAATAAAATAAAATAAAATGATGACATTAAACCATCAGGCCTGGAAAAACGGTTCCTAGTAAAATGCAGGTCCAGTCAGAGAGCCAAACTCCTGGATGAGCTTTTGAAACTTGCATGTAGTTTATCTTTCTCTTTTTTTCGTGAAGCTTTAAATTGGACGGTCCCCAGAGGCCGGTTTTCAAAACGCCTGCTCACCACTTTCACCCCTCGATGTTAAAACTTAAATGTATATTCTTTGGATCTGGCATAGGATATTTGACTGGGTATTTCTTTTGTTTTCTTAGGGGGGGGGAGTGGAGTGGGGTTTGTATAAGTATGTCTGTTTTTCAATTCTAAATGTGAAACTCCTGTGAGTACAAAGAAAAAAGTCCCATGGATCAGAATAAGAAAATATTCCTCAGAGACTTTTTTCCTTTACACTTGGCAATAGCTGCAAGCTTCTTAACCCACTTGTTTGGTTCCCCAGACTCAAAAGTTGACACCAAGAGGTGAGCCCTGGCATCTAGGAGAAGTGTGGGTTTGTATTTTTTTTTATAATTCTGATTTTGCCTTGGAACTCCAAGAGCATCCAGGAGATCCAAATTTTCAAACAGGTCGGGTCTGGACTTCTTTTGCAAATTAAAATGGGGGGGGATGTTTATTATTAGCTAAAAAAAAAAATCAAGGAGAGGGAGAAATTCAGGTAAGAAAATGTGGTGAGCACGCCCCCAGCCTGATAGTGCCGATTTGGGGAGGGCGGCAGGCCCTTAGAACACCTGTTAGAGGTAGCCAGAAACAAGCCAGAAGAAGACTGGGTCTCTGTCTCCCTCCTCCCTTCCCTACACGTTCCTGTGCTCTTCTTTCTCATTACACATGCTTTTCTCATCTCTCCCTCAGATCTCAGTTAATAATAATAAATTATAATCTAGATCATTTTACTGAAGCTAAGGGAGTAAATGTCGGTGGTCAGGGTCCAAATGGGGTGGGGAACGGGGCCCTATTCAAAGCTCCCAGGCTTCTTTCTCGCTGATCTTTGCAGGCAGCTGCAAACCCAGACCAGTGCAGAAAGACATCCAGAACCACAATTCCTTGCTGCCTGCTTCTGTTGTGGATTTACACACGCAGACAGCACCTCCCCCACATGTGGGCAACTGCGAATAATATTCTCTTCAAATGTTTCCTATTCCAATCAGCTGAGACCAAATCCCAACGGGAGAAATTTTTAGAAATAAAAAAATCATATTTTAAAAATAGTACAGCCCAACAAAGAGTCCCTAAAGTCTCCACAAAACCCTGGTCTTGTTCTCAGACCTGAAAATTCCATTTCTAGACTTTTTTTTTTTTAAACTAAGGCCCAGATCTGCTTAGGAGAGGTGTGAGACTTTGAATCCACTGAGTGCATTCTGGCCATATGCTGGTCTTTCCCTTCCTTCCTCATTCTCCAGATTATTCAGTTTGGAGGTTTGGAGAACAGAAAGAAAGGAACTTCTGACACGACAACTATAAGGTATTACAGGAAGCATTGAACCTGAGACTGCCCCACAGAAAACTCAAGGGAACAGAACCACTTTCTCAGGGTATCTGCCCGGCAATATCCTCTGCAATGCCAGG